ACTTCAAGTATTAGAGCATACCCAGCGCCATCTGTTGTCATTTAATATTTAACTTAAATAGTCGTTAGTTTCAAGAAAGAGGCCGTGACTAATCCGAGATGGAATGATTTCTTTTTTTAGGATCGTGATGTAATTGATAAATTGTAAACGACTTTTGTCTGAAAGTAAAGGTAACTGTGCCAATATATTAAACCGAATATGATACATTTTTCTTTTAAGGCTTAATATACGCTGAATAAGCTCACAAGACTATTATTTGTGACTCATTTTAGCTCTAACATAACTAGTGATAATTCCCGTACATATAATTGATAGATATTGCCATATCATTGCCATTAATATATAGAGGATCACAACTTTCAGAGACCTCAGCCAAGCCAAGCCAATTAAATTATTCAACTCAATTTAAGTATAGGAGAGCCATGCTTCGGCACGAATGGGCCGGCTCGACCGGAGTGATACCACGGCGTCACAGAAAACCGACGTAAAGCAACGCATGCGTTGTGTTTCGTCGTGTGAGTGAGGTTACCGGAGGCCCAATTACCCTCCCTTCCCGAATCTCTCCAATTCCTGAATCCCCAACGATCCTCAAACTCCTAATCCCCAAAAGGCCGGTAACGCATTTGAAACGCCTCTGATGTTCCAGGTGTCCATGGGCGACGCTGATTGCTTACTATCAAGTGATCCGTGTGCTCGTTTACCGGCTTATGCCATAAAAAAAATTCTACAATACCTTTAGAATAAATTCATGTTTATTGCAACAAACTGGATAGGTACATCTACTCTCATTACATTTATATTCTATGATTCCGATCACTTTGCTTCAAAACACAAAAGTTCACAAAACTAATTAATAAATTGTTACTAAAACATTTCTGACAGACAAATTGCCCCGCGCCTACGAAGCTATAAATCAAACAAATTGTGAATTCAATTTGAGCGAATCATCAGACAATTTGTGCAGAACGATATTTCACATCGATTTAGCATCGAAAACTATCCGCATTAAGTAATAAATGCGATTCGTCTTATTTCTGTTACAAAATCAACGCCATTAATTATGGTTCTCGTTAATTTAATTATAGATAAATCCTATAAAACATTTGCATAACAGGTAAAAGTATTTTTATCAACTTAATTTAAAAATCAAATTACTTTAGTAGACACGATGATCTAATTAGCATTTTCGACTGTCGAAAGTCTTAGATATACTTAATTCTTATATTAGGAGAAAAGAAAGCCTTAAGGCTCAGTCCTAAGGCATTTTCTATATATTCCATTATCGCAATCTGTATATAACTTTCTAAGTGAGCTCTTTCCTAAAAAAATTACGGTCTAAATATTTAAAAACTATCATGCCTAATTTGAAAATAATCGCCTGAACTTATGCTTGTCTAGGCTTATTTAACTTATTTTCATACAAAGTCTTTAGAAAAGGTCATGACATTGAAACTTAATGTACTCTTGTGTCGGTAAATACTCTTACTGACTTGTTAAAAAACAATTAGAAATCTATCTTACCTCAATAATTATATATTCTTATTTATATGATAGGTATGGTCACTATATTTACAGTTCATATAAATGTATACGTGTAAAAACTGACCTTTCTCAACGATGATTGGAACATTTAGCGATATATTTAATTTATATCAATCACATCAATTAATACATATAACATAACTTCACGCATTTATCCCCGAAGAGGTAGGCAGAGGTGCACACTACGGGACTTAATGCCACTGTACAATGTAACACCCACTTTTCACTGTTATATGTTATGAGCCCCATATAATAAGGGGTGAGCTTATTGCCATACCGGCCACAATTCCAAACTCCGTGCTACTACTGAGATTTTTTGAAAAAATCCTGTAGTGACCGACGTGGGAATCGAACCCGAGACGATACTCGGACAACGAGGCAGTCAATTAATAGAATTGCTATAAATTAAAGTATCTGAAGGAAAACATTATAATAAACATAAAACGTAACAATATGGAAACTATATTTGTATTATAACTTTCGTGAGACATATTAAATATATTATTATGTTTTCGGCTTACTCACGTAATTATTTAACGAGGAACTCGACTAGTTTCAAGCCATACTAGAGGCTCATATTTATGAGCAGCATTTCGCGACCCGCGACGCGGCGACTGTCGCGCTGCTACTGCGAAAATATGGAAACTTAATTAAAATCCAATAATTACAGTCTAGTCTTAATATATTATACACTTTCTAGGAAAACTAGTCAAGAATGTGCAACCTTTAAAGCAAGGTGCTACTTTTATAAAGGTTCAAGATAGACATAAAGTTATAAAAGCGTAGTGAAAACACACCCTTTCGCTGTACCTTAGTTAATTAAATTACTTCATTAAACATTAATATTTTAATATCTGTAAACCATTAAAACGTGGACAAGACATAAAGTTTCTCCTGTTTTCATTAACACTTAACATTCTTTTAATTTTCACATTTTCTTTGTCCTATATCGACTTTAAAAACTAGTTAGACGATAAGATTATACAAAAAGACTCCAGAAAAAGAAAAAAATGTTACGAAGATCATAGCATATATTTGAATTGACTGCACGGTTGACGTGGTGACTGGGCAACTGTTTGTATGATCCACAAATTATTGTCTCGGGTCTGGGTGTTATTGTGTATGTGAACTTGTAAGTTTGAAAACGCACTCATGATACAGGAGAAAATCCTACTGTGGGGCAACGTTTTAAAAAAGAACAAACTTACTTAATAAAAGTTCCTTTAGGTATGTACCTACAGGCACTTTTGAAACATCAATAGTCGATTAGTCGTCAGTAGTTTAGTTGGATTCGTCTATGAGTCACAGTCAAAGTCAAATCAATAATTTCGATTCATCCTCAAATATTTTATACGTCAAAATTGAATCGTCCGTCGCGTCGGTCTATATATCAGTAGAGCAAGGTTCTTGTTTCAAAACTAAATTAATATCATCATCATCAACAGCCTATAAATGCCCACTGCTGAGCAAAGCCTCTTCTCACACGGAGGTTTGAGCATTAATCCACGCTTGCTCAATGTGAGTTGGCGATATCAAACTCATAATCGGAAATTATAAGCCCAGGTTTCCTCACGATGTTTTCTATCACCGTTTGTCAGTGGTGTTTAAATAATTTAGAAAGTACATATAATTCTGAAAAGTCTCATTAGCACTCGCCGTTGATAGGTTTCAAACCCTCATGCATGAGAAGCGGGCTTCTTAAACCTCCGGTCCACCACGACATTAGATTCGTATGAGCAGAACGAACGAGCAACCTTATCTAAGATTAAACCAAACAACTTCATTACTGCCTACTTAAATTACGACATACTGATGAAATTATACCTAAAACCTGTTAGCTGATTACCATACATAGGATTATAGAGAACTGCGTTAGAAAGACGATATGTCAAGGTCAAAAAACGGATGGGCAGTGTTAATACTTCAAGGTTAGAAGAATCGACTTTTACGCAACATTATCAGTATTATTTCATCTGTTACAACATTATTTTGTTATGAACTAGGGTTTTTTAGAAAGGGTTTTTATATAACTTAAACACGTCTGCTATTTTGAGATGGGCAGTGGCTAGCTTATTGGTTTATTGTGCGTAATAACAAACAAACAAAAAGTCAAAACTAAAAAGCAAAAAAATAACTATTATTAGTATTGATAGGTTACCCACCCACTGATAGGTAAGAAGTCGATGCCCCATGCCATCCACCATCTCGTGAGTATACCTTTTCAAACAAAATAAGAATTTTAATTTAACAAATGGCGGAGTAAGGGCGATCAAACAAAAAAAAAACTATCAGTCGAACATAGTACCTCCGCCTACATTATACATACACCTCCTCCTTTTTATGAAGTCGGTAAAAATATGAACGGTGAAAATAAGACGTCACATTTGAGACACTTCCTTTACTTAGAAAATAAGACAACTGATGAACGTCAACGACATTCAAACGTCATTAAATATTAATAGGCCTATTCTATTAAGATTAAAAAAATGAATAACCAAATTAAATTAGTATAAATAAATCATCGAAAACAAAAATAAGTTGTCTCTAATTCTCATTCCCAAAGACAGCTGTTTGAAATGTCAATTCGAAAGTCCTTATTTACGGTTATTTAAACATAAATCTTAGGCATCAAGGATAACGTAGCATTACTTATAAACGAAGCTTTTAAGATATCTTTTAGTTGGGAATGCGTGAACTGAGAGGCGCGACATGAATTAAATATTAGACAGCCGTAACAGCTACGTCTAAGTGTTACAAACTAGATGCTTCGGACGTTATTTTGTTTCAAGTTTTTTAAGATGTCTGTTTATTTTGAACAAGAATAAGCGTCGAAAATCAAAATGATTTAGTTTTTAAAAAAAACAGTTCACTGCTAGGTTGGTCCGGTGGCTGGGTAACCGGCTGCCGCGCAATGTGTTTTCGGGTTGGATTCCCACACGGAATAACTCTTTGTGTGATCCACAAATTGTTGTTCCGGGTCTAGACATCATGTGTATGTGAAATTGTATGTTTGTAAACGCACCAGAGACGACACAGGAGAAAATCCTAGTGTGGGGCAACGTTTTTTTTAAAAAGACACGGAAAGACAAAGAAATGTAATGGACGGAAAATTAGAGGTTTTATTTATATGAGTTAAACTAGGTAGTTTTTTTTTGAGGGGGGAATTCATCCTGTGGCTTCTCCCGCCTGGGTGAGGCGAGAGGGAGTGTCAGACCCTTACTGACTAAAAACCACCCCGTTCCTACTCCTGCACTTCGAACCGGAGCCCTGGTAACCCGTTAAACCCTCCGCGGCTCCGTATCGGTATTAGCTCTATTGGGCCACATCTATGGTAGTCTGATGGCTCCTTGAAAAACTAGGTGGTTTATCTTTAGAAAGACCAAGTCCACTAAATAAAAGGCAGGCACCTTCATCTACTTTCTTATCCCAAACTAATGCGAATTTTTTCTTCTTGTTACAGGAAGAAAATATAGCACTCCGCCTAATAAAGCAACATTCAGACATCGAAGAACCAGAAAGCAGTCCAGCATCACCTGAGGAACCTTTCACTGGTCATACTGGAACCACTGGAAGAGCATACTTTGATGAACCTGGTTACGTGAACGGAGGAGCTAGGGATTCAGACCCTTACGTGAGGAACAGGTTCAACCAGGCTGCATCAGACAATCTACCCAGTAATAGACCAGTGCCTGATACAAGGAATGCTATGTGAGTTTGTATTTATTTTGATTTTTATTAGCTCTTGCATAGGACGTTTTGAGAATTAAGGCTTGTTTCACTGGGACACCATGGCGACGCATCCAGTCCCGACACAGTGGCCGCGGCACTGGCGGCCGAGCGAGTAACACACCATACAGCGCTATAATAATAAATGGTGGCGCGACCAAGGATGAGCGACCAGTGACATTCTATACTGGCATCCGCGTGACCAGCGCCACCAGATTAGCGCAGCCAAGCGGACACCAGTTAAGTAACTCTCTATAGAGCTGCATACATTTGGCTGGTTGCGCTGCCATGATGTGCCGGTGTAATATAGCCATAAATATCTTATCATTTCCAACCGTTTGAAAATATTTATAATTAAAAAACTTCAACTTAACTCCAACCAATATTTTCTTCTATATTATTTAGATACGAAGTGACTCAGTACCTGATGGTTACATCATACTGATTAATAAATATGTAGGTAGATTTTTCGTTTAACTACTCAAAATTCTTATAGTCCATCTGTTTAGGTAATTAACTAAAGGTAAACAAAGAAAACCACGTGACACAGAGATACTTAACCTACTATTACTTCAAATATTTCTCGTGTTTTAATTTTAATTAAATTCACTTTAAAATCGTTCATTTGTCATACGCACACATACAAGTACAAATGCCTAAATCGTACAAGAGCTTGCCTATGGGTCTATATCATTATCATGTTTAAATAGAAACTATTCTGAATCTGATTTACGGATTTCTTTCTTGTACGGATATCTGTCTTTGGGCCAAGTTTCTTCAATATATTTGAACACATTAATTACAAACGATGAATAACCTAAACTTAAATAACTTAATAACAAAAACAAAACAAAGAAACAAGTTAAATTCAACAAAATAGGAACGCGAGCGCAAACGACGAGAGAGCTGTCAATGGCGCCTGATTAACCGACTAAACGTAATACACGCGACTTTCATTGTCGCGCTACATCTTAGTTGTACTCTTTAATTTGACAACATTATTTTGCTTCGTTCTTAAAGAAACGTTTTGGATACCTGGGATTTTAGGTTCTTTATGGTGTCTATTGTAATGAAATATTATATTATTTAATAAATGTTATTAAATTAATATCCTCAAGCAGATATATTTAATATTTATTAAGAAATAAGTGAAAAGGAACAGAAACATAACATTTAATAGAGAAAACTGTCGTAAAAAGGGAAACAATTTTATTTTCTTACGAAGTATTTTGAATCATGGAAATGTCAACTATAAAGAACTCTTTTTATGGTTTGTTTACAAATAGTTAACTACCTAAACAGACGGAGTATAGGTCAAACTATTTTGATAACATTGTGCTTATAACATTGTTATACACTGGATATATTTTTTGGAACAGCTTACAAAAACCTATCTTATGTAGACTTTACAAAAAAAAAAACAATCCTATACCCAAAATGGCTTCACATAGTTCACATGTATAGCACGTAAAACTAGACTATGTTATCAGACATTTTTCAGGCTTCCGAAAGCTCTTTATGGCCGTCATTGATATTCATACAAGCCGAGATCGGGGTCTAACACACTTCGACCCAAGGAAATATTGACCCTATATCTTAATAAACAATGTCATGATCAATAGAACCCATGTTCCTACTGGTAGGGGTCTCGGATGAATTTTGACCTTTGTGTCTATTTATGTAGGTACTGTATTCGCGAAAACGGATGTTTTTAGATACGCGCATTTTTGTTCCAGTTCTTATTAAAGATTTCCGAAAGAAAGATAATCTCAAATTGTTATGATTTGTTAAGTTTAGAAGCACAGAAAACACAGCAACAACCGTAATCTAGAAATATAGAATAGAGTTTCAAAAATGGACCACACGATAAAATTTAGTATTTTAATATTACCTACTCTCTACTATGAAAAGTATCCATTTTCACCATCAAGATACAATCTCAGTAATACCATAACAAACAAAATACTTAATTAAAAACATTCCAATTAAAATTGTGAAAGTAGAGGCTTTGACACTGAATCCTTTGATCTCGCATGCGTTAGCCATTAACTCAAACCTTTTATGCGAGTATTCATGTTCCCAATGTCCAATTAAGGAAGGGTTGGATTACGTGAGCAAAAAATCCACATACGGAACTATTTGCTGCTCTTTTCTCCAAATCATTCCGACAGTGAATAAGATAGGACGCCAAAGGAGCAGACGGATCACTTGACCTCTTGGTTCAAGTTTGTATTAACTTTAAATGATTAGCTGGCCACTGATTGGCAGGCTGTAATGGTCCAAACAATCAGAGCCCCGAACGCGGTCTGCTTTCGATTAATGTGAAACAAACTTACTCAGATCGATTTTCTATAAATTTCAAATTTATCAGAAAGCACTGCTTCTCACTCACTCTTCACTCTTTGTTTAACCCTTAGAGGCCCACAGGTCAGTCACGGTGGCCGACGCTGGTGGAGGTTTCAGTTTTATCATTTTAAACTCGGCAGTTAAAGTGTTAATGTGTAGTCCCGTAGTCAGCTTTTATGTCACCAAAGTGATGCCAAGGGTTGCTAGCACATGGTATTCAACCCTGTTGTCACCACAGGGCAAACCAATGAAGCTTCTGATATAATTAGGAAATCATTTTTGACATAACTTAAAAATAATGCCTAAGTATATCCAGTCCTAATCCATTTTTTAAACACATTAAAAGACAATTTGTCATTTCGATATCTCGTGCGTGCAAAGCAAAATTAAATGTGAGAGACTAAACCGTGATCAATTTTATTCTGATACAAATCTAAAATACCTCTCGTGACTTTAATTAGATATATCAACACATTCTATTAAAATATAAATATGGCGTCAATATCATCTTGATAGTAGTTTAATACTAAGTCATTATAAAACGAAGTCAGTCGTTAGACTAGATCAGAAATGCTAGTGCTGACATATAATTTAGCTGATAAAAATATTTTCTATCGACTTTGCTTTACGATCAGTAACCTTTACTTTACAGATTTCCACATTTAGGTCATAAAAAGACTGTAGGGACCCGTTAGGGGTTGGGATAATCCGTAGCCAGACTTTTTTATGGCATAAGCCGGTAAACGAGCAGACGGATCACCTGATGGTAAGCAATCGGCGTCGCCCATGGACACCTGGAACACCAGAGGCGTTATAAGTGCGTTACCGGCCTTTGGGGGTTAGGAGTTTGTGTATTCAGGGATTGGGGAGATTAGGGAAGGGGAGGGAGAAACACAACGCAAGCGTTGCTTCACGTCGGTTTTCTGTGAGGCCGTGGTATCACTCCGGTCGAGCAGGCCCATTCGTGCCGAAGCAGGGCTCTCCCACACTAAAAACACTATAATACCGAAAACATCAAAATAGAAAAGTTTGTGATATTTATTATGGGAATTGCAACCAATAACGTCAACTTTATTTTACTCACATCACAAACATTAATTTAAATACGTACATGTTTTTCTCACACCGAAATCAGTAAACACATAGTCCAAAAATACATAATCAGCGAATCTTTAAAGCAAACATCAATATTTGGTGTTCTTAACCCAAATTGTTCTGAACTTACGTTAAAGAAGTGCAGTGTCAACCAACGACCTCAATTTGACGCAACTTCACACATACGTAATACCTCGCCAACTCGTTATCTCGCGACCTCCCGTGGACCCCGGCGACCTCGCCAACTCATCGGGTCAATGTCTGCGGAGATGAATTGGAGATGGTGACTTCTGAGATAATTAGCGAGTGGACTGAGTGACAAATTACAGTTCGTCTGTATATTGCTATTACTAGTTTGCAAATTAGGCTTTTTTAAATGGACATATTATTTTAATTGTTGTTAAATAGGTAATAGTTTTTTCCCTAATAAACGTGTTTTAGACGAAGTTTTTTTTTGCTTAAAGAATTTTTTACGATTTTATTATAAGAATCTTGTTTGTCGAATCTAAATACATAAAGCAGATTTCTTCTATAGTTAAAATATGGTTAGTTTAACTACAGTTAATGAACCCACAATTAGATTTATTAGATTAGATTATAACATAATTTCATTACTTAATAAAATTACGTTAGAGAAAGAGAAAAAAAACAATTTAGTATAATAGTAAAATATTACACAAATCTGTCATCCCGGTACCAAAAAATAATATAATATTTTTTTATTGAATTAGGGTCTCCAACAAGGCATACACTTAGCACACACGGGTAACATTAAAAAAAAATTAAAAGCTATGTGCTTCCTCAATTATAGGAGGCCACAACATGCAAAAAACATAAAAATATACAATAAAAATAAAATAAAATTAACTGAATTAAAAGCTAAGAACACAACTGTAACTCATAACAATATAAAACGTCAAAATATGGTACACGTCAAATATACTGAGTGATTAAAAACTAAATTCCCTCCTTGATTCCCAGGTGTCGACTAAAGAAATACGACGATGACTTGCCGCAGACCAGCATCATTATCACATTCCACAACGAAGCCAGATCCACACTACTGAGGACCATCGTCAGGTACTGTCTCGAATCATAATATTTTTTTAAGTTTTTTTTTTTCTTATAAAACTACTTGTAATATACTTATACTTAATATTTATTGGGATTAGGCAACGTTTCAATAAAAGCACTTGCCAGAATTCTTATAAATCACGATATTTATTTAAACGCAACATCATTACAAAACGAATATAAGCAAAGAGAAAAAGAACACCGCCTCTATCAGGAGACAACGAAAACTTCTTACACACACAGACAACCAGACCATTTTATAATTTTTTTTTCAACAATATTGTTCTGTATTTATAAAATGCCCGTTATCTATATGAATAACCTATCATCTAGGTACATAAATAAAAATGAATTTCCGTTAGTTAGTCTCGCTAAAACTCGAAAACGGCTGAACTAATAAGGCTAATTTATTTTGGTCTTGAAATGTTCATGGAACCCCAGGGAGGAATTGAAAACTACCCTATTCCGATTAGGTATAAGTATCAAAGAGAGTGTATTTGACCAGGAAAACAATTTAACTGTAATATGACAAGGGCACGGACACAAGGCCGTGAAGAAATAAAAAAAAAATAATATTCAAAAGAGAGTGTATTGTATACACCACTCGATACTGGCAGTATAGTCGATAATACCGTTCTGGAGACTCGGTTGACAAAAAAGAAAAAAAAAGAAGTAAAAGTTATTTTGATCTAATTCGTTTTTTTTTGTTGCAGTGTTCTAAATAGGAGTCCGGAGCATCTGATTAAAGAAATTATCCTGGTTGACGACTTCAGTGATAACCGTAAGTAACATTAATGTTTTTTCTTATCTTTATTTTATTAATATTGCAATTTTGTCATCAATTCCAATTACAATTTCTTTTGCTATCCGTAGTTTTTTGCTACGAATGACGTCACGCAGCTGTTATTGTGACAAGGTTTCATCGCAATATCAACTTGCGGGGCTTATACACGTGAATGGTCCCGGTGAGGAAGTGTCTTTAAACACAGAGTATACCTTTAAACACTTCCTAATGAAATAAAAACCGTATAATATTATACCTGTTAACAAGAACAGCATTTTATGAAAACCTTTAGGTATAATGTGTACAAACTGGCGTGTACTTTAAATTTAAACCAACAACCTTACCAAGAACTCATCAAATTATGTTAATTTCTTGCAACTTTGTCTGTTTCTTAACGCTTTCCTTATATATTTAATACTAGCGTTTACCCACGGCTTTGCTCACGTGAATTTTATCAGCCTGTTGTGTCCTCTGTGCTCTCAATTATAGTGGCATGCATGCATTTCAAGAAGTATTGTGGTGAAGAGGTAACAAAGAAATAAACAAACTTACTTTCGCATTATTTTGTAAGTAGTGGTTGGAATAGGCGAGTTTACTAAATTTTATTTTAATGTCCGTCTGGTAGATTATTTTAAAACATTAGACACGTATTTTTTCTTTTCTTACAAAATTAAATGCTTTCGACGATGTATTGATTTTAAATGTTGTGTGACGTCACAGCGTGCAACAAAATGTAGCACGTTGTGACGTAACTACCTCCCACTCCTAAACTTAACTCCATTTTATCTAAGTATTGTAACTTTATACGAGAAAATAAAAAAATACGTGTCTAATATTTTTTAATTATCTAATTGACGGACTAATTAGATTTTTTATTTTTTTATCCTAGAAACTACCCAATTTCCGTACCACATTTATTTTGTTTTACTCCTTTTTAATAATAGAAAGTGTTAACAGTTATGTCGTAAATTGGTTTAGTGGACCCGGAGGTGTTTTATTATATAAATTATTTTCCTTTAAGTAGCACTAAAAAAGTGCTATTCGTGCCTTGGGTGTGATTTTTTGTTCTTTTTGTTTTGTTCAACCAATTTGTTGTAGTTAGCCTTGTATGAGTTTGTCCAAACTTCCAAATTCTGTACCCAATTTTTCTTTATACAATACTAACTTCTGCCCGCGACTTCGTACGCGTAATCCCATTTTTTCCCGTCCCCATTCGTGATTTTCGGTAAAAAGTAAAAAAAAGTATTGGTTAAAAAGTATCCTATGTCGGTCTCCTGGCTCTAAGCTACCTCCCTACCAAGCAAATCAGCAAATCATTTTCAGCCAAATCTATTCTGCCGTTCTTGAGTTATAAGTGGTGTAACTAACACGACTTTCTTTTATATATATAGATATAGATTGTACGTACGTTCAGGATCATTTATAATGCTAAGTAGTTCTTACGCACATCAGACACTCAAATAAAAACAAAATATTGAGTATATTTTCATAACAAGGCGGTATTACATAAGATAATAATCATAATTACTTGATTACAAACTGCAGCATCATCTAAGTAGTTTTGTAAGTAGGTAGGTAAAAGTGGGTGGGAAACGGATTTATTATTATAATCATTATTTTATTACACAACACTCCAGTGTTAGTCGAAAATGAATAAAATCATTGTTTTAGTGAAAGGCGTGCAAAAAACATAAAATAAAAATCATGCCAAGTTTGAGTGATATATTTAATGTTGAGATTTTTTAAGGGGGGAATTTCATTGAATGACCTGGTGAGGCGGGAGGGAATGCCAAACTCTTACTGATTAAAAACCACCCCGTTCCTACTCCTGTCCTTAGAGCCGGAGCCCCGGCAACCCGTTAAGTCCTCCGCGGCTGCGTATCGGGCATCAGCCCTACTGGGCCCCGTCTTTGGTGGTCTGATGGCTCTTTGAGGCGCGCGCGGAACGCGACGCACCGTACGCACGGGTCTGGATCTGGTTGGGCAGCGAGCTACCCTTGCTCATCGTCTGCAGTCCCTAAACGGAAACCTTGACTTCAATATGTTATATAAAACACTTCCACATTCACTAAACTCGTAGGTCTTAAAATAATTCTCCAAAATATTGTACAACTTTATCGTGAACAGACAATAATAAAAAATTACTTGATGTTTAATATAGTCCAAACTAAATTATCGTCAACTTACATCGAAATTAACATTTTTTATAAATCATACATCATACATAAATAACATTACGCCTTTTATCCCAAAAGGCGTGGCGCAGAGCCACTTAATGCCACTATACAATGTAACACCCACTTTTCACTAATTATGTTATGAGCTCCATGCCACATTTCCATATAGTGGACACAATTCCAGACTCTATGCTACTGCTGATAATTTTTAAAAACTCTGTAATATTTTACCCGAACCGGGAATCGAAGCCCTTTGCCGGACAGTCGCACTTGCGACCACTTGGCTAACGAAGCATCTAAATTTTAAGCTTTATAAACCAATGTAAACAAAATATATCTACAGTAAATATAACAAAACAATCACCATCTAAATATAAAAAGAACTGACTGACAGACAAATGAGAGTAATGAACTATGAATATTTTCATACAAAACATGCAAACAAGAAAACAAACAAAATGCGAACTTGGCTGGCGCTCTGCCAGGCCGAATGAAGAAGTACACATTCAGCTACGAAAAACCAGTGTAAACTGACCTTAGAATGTCTAGAAATATCATAAATTGAGAGACCGTGATAGTCTGGTTAGTATTGTTTGATGTGTAGCGTATGTCAAAGAATTCACTTTGAACAATATACCTAATGCTACGTTGTATGTTCAGATGGACATATTTGGAACTAGATGATACGCACTTTTATTCTCCATAGAGATTAACGAATTCTTTCAATGCAGATCCATAATTAGATAGTTTTTACCCGACTTCAAAAAAGACTGCCTCGTTGACCGAGTGGCCGCAAGTGCGACTGCCGGGCAAGGGGCCTCGGGTTCGATTCCCGGGTCAGGCTATACTTTGCCCGAGATAACATAAATATCATAACATAAATAGTGAAAAGTAGGTGCTACATTGTATAGTGGCATTAAGTGCCGTAATGTTTACCTCGGCCTACCCCTTCGGGGATCAAAGGCGTGGTGACGTTATTATTATATAATTTTCTCCCGCTCTTTTCAAAGGCTATATAGACTAAAAATCATGTCGAGACGTCTAGTAAATCTAAAAACAAAAGGACAACAACAAAACAGTTGAATAAATTAATATAGAGCTTCATATCTGTCGGCTGTACGTTTGTTCAAAACAATGGTTAATCATTGCCAGCACTACAGTATTGTGAATTTTATTTCATTCTGTATTATAATTATTAAACAAAACATTCGCTTAATTACCAAGAACAATAGTTCAGTGTTCAATTAATTCTCGCTTCTCATATTAAATTGTGAAATTCATACACAGCCCGTGTCAAAAGCTTGTGTAGTAATGAAATTGTTTTACATTTTTTATGAATGGTAGTGTAATTATGTGAATTTTGAAATTATGCTATTGGTTGCGGTTATCTCAATTAGCATTGGATGTTAGAGCAGATTTTTTGTTGCCAAATTGCAATGTGTAAGTTCATGTAATACTGGTTAATTGAATTTGTTATACCTACGATGAAATTGTGTTGGTTTTTTAAATGCTCTTGTGGTCGTATGCAACCAAGTTTAGCCGTATTTTTTATGGTATAAGCCGGTAAAGCAGCAGACGAGGTAACTTGATGGTAAGCAATCAACGCCGCCCATAGACACCTGAAACACAAAGGCGTTACAAGTGCGTTACCGGGTCTTTTGGGAATTGGGAATTTGAGGATTGTAAAGGATTCGGGAATTGGGGAGACTGGGAAGGGGGAGGTGGGATAATTGGACTCTTTCTGTTGTGTGTCTGTGTTGTGACGATAAAGTGGAATACATACATTTGTCACTATCTGCATCCTTTTTGCGGGTGTCTTATTGGTTGATTAAGGGATCACTCGATTGATAAAGACCAGGAAGCAGTAAATTTAGATAATGTTGAACTTTTTTAACTGTGACATCAAACTTGCCTGCCAAAGGTGGAATAGGGAAGGCCTATAGCCGAAAAGTAGATTAACTATCAGGGATGTTGTTGTAAATAGATACATAAAACCTAAAAATCAAAGTCAAAGCATTTATTTCAATTAAACCATAATTTGGTACTTTTGAAACGTCAACAAATACAAAATAAATTATAGTCTGTCAGTCAGTCCGTCAGTGAAGCTAGGTGAAGCTAGGTGCTCATTCCAAAAAGTAGATTCAAATGGAGAAGAACGAGCAAGAAACTCTATACCTTTTATAACATTATACATGTTAAAAAGAAAAGGATATTTACACACAGTTTATCACATGTTGAAATCTCTAAAAGTGCGAATCTTAAAGTAAATGAAGAATGAAAGGTAAATGTTTGCCAAAATATTTAGCGCACCTATCTTTGTTAACACAGGCTGAAGTAAACGTATATTTTGTACCAAAATGTATATAAAAACGCATGAAATAAGCGGACAAACATTTGGCTTTGGTAAACATAGAAATATTTTTTTCATTACCAAGCTTTTCTTCTTTTAACGCAGAGTCTGAAAATTGTTGGTGGTGGTAATGGTTACTCTGTGCTAGGATTTTATTATACCTATGTTCAGCAGAAGATGGAAACCAGTGATGGCGATGATGATCATGATTTTACCCTTTGAGTACCGTCATTATAGACACAATTAAAGAACAATAGGTTACGGTCACCGGTGTCCTCGCTGTGTTTGACAGTTTAAATATAAGTTATAGAAACTTCAAAAACCCTAAATAGGGTTCAGGATAAATCCGCATCCGCAATCTTCAAATTAAAACGCTGAATAGGGCAAGGCTTTGTTATGTTATTTTATATTAGGAACATAATAACATAAGAAAATATTTATAACACAATAAAATATTTTCTAGTCTCATGTCGAAATACTTAAACTCAATTTTAGGTCGCGCTTAAGTCTGTCAGTCTAATAGTTCTGTCTCTACAAATTATTTTAAAGTGACAGAGATAGCACGGTATTTAAGTACCTACAACTTGAAATTTGAGTAACCTTTCAGTTTTCGGGCGTTAGTATTTTAATACATACATACATAGCATCACGCCTTTTATCCTCGAAGGGGTAGGCAGAGGTGCACATGATGCCACTGTACAATGAAACACCCACTTTTCACTGTTTATGTTATGAGTCCCATGTACTAGGGGGCGAGCCTATTGTCATTGTCATATACCGGACACAATTTCAGACTCCGTGCTACCACTGAGATTTTTTTTTAAAACCCAGTAGTACTTAGCCCGGCCCGGGAATCGAACCCGAGACCCCTTGCCCGGCAGTCGTACTTGCGACTACTCGGCCAACGAGGCAGTCAGTAGTATTTTAATATATCCATTAAAATGGTCCTTTTTCTTCCAGCCGAGGATGGGGCAGCTCTCCGCGCGATCCGTAAGGTTAAGGTGATTCGGAACTCGAAACGCGAGGGTCTGATGAGGTCCAGGGTCCGAGGAGCTGATGCTGCAGTGGCTCCTGTGCTCACCTTCCTGGACTCCCACGTGGAGTGCAACGTGCATTGGCTGGAACCGCTGTTGCAGAGGGTGAAAGAGGTACGTGAAAGATTTTTACCAGGATTTCTGTTTGTATTTGAAATTGTACTTTAGTTTATCTTCGCCATCACATAAAATTGTCTACAGAAAAAGACGGGTTCTGTGCGCATTCGAGACCTCATGTTGAATCCTCGAATTGGACAATTGAAATAATATACCTATTACTTACTTATTGAACAGGTTCCGATTTTTAAGAATTTATTGTTTCACCCTTTATTTGGCCTTGTCAGAAATAACACAGCAGACGGAAAATAACCTCAACTTACCGTAACCCTTTAGAGAATATCAGAGAAATGTCACGTATATCTAGTACACAAATAAACACCTACTCATTCAAGTCACTGCTCTTTGCAGTGCAACTGCCTCGTTGGCCGAGTGGTCGCAAGTGCGTCTGCCGGGCAAGGGGTCTCGGGTTCGATTCCCGGGTCGGGCATAGAATTACTGGGTTTTTAAAAAAAATCTCAGTAGTAGCGCGGAGTTTAGAACTGTGCCCGGTATATGGCAATAGGCTATTACATGGGACTCATAACATAAATAGTGAAAAATGGGTGTTACTTCTATGTGCACCTCTGCCTACCCCTTCGGGGATAAAAAGGCGTGATGTTAAGTTATATTATCATTCAAGTCAATTACAAATTCTTGTGTAGGCTGACAATTAAACTGGCATTATCAAATGTCACATTAGCATTCTAGTAAATTCTATTCAGTATAACACCTTCAATTGCTGATTACTTTAACATTATGTTCGCATTAAATCCAAAGGCTTGAAAATGTCAGGCGCAGTTGTGTCGTAATATTGTAATCCACTTTATGCAATGCACATCTAAACGGTAATGTAATTGTATGAATCGCAATCTTCAAAGTATATTGTTGCAATAATTTTTGATGTTATATGAAAGCTGTAGTCACTACAGTGGTTGGTACAAGAGATATGAGTAAAGTACTGTATCATCGTATACTGTACTATATGCCGGAGATTTAAGTCGCCCACTTCTTATGGTTCGAAGCCTACCAACGGCAACGACTTATATGTACTTTCTAAGATTATCTAGACACCACTGACAAACGGTGGAGGAAAACATCGTGAGGAAACCTGGGCTTCTAATTTCTAATTATAAGTTTTTAATCGCCAACCCGCATTAAGGAAGCGTGGTTATTAATGTTCAAACCTTCTCCGTGTGAGAAGAGGCTTCGCTCAGCAGTGGGCATTTATACGCTGTTGATGATGAAGACTGTGTCCTCAGATGGATAAACATTTGATCCTCAAATAAACAAATGAGTCTGAATACCTCTACTAACTACTACTGTATTATTTGAGCGCTCATTGGCCACAGGTGTATTAAAAAGAAATTATATGACATTTCTAACTTCAAATTCTAACTATGAGCTCTCGTTCTTACCAAATGTCATTACGTATATTACTGACGTCAATTGTACGCGGTTGTAGATACAAAAAGCAACATACAGACGAATTGATAATTTCCTCCTTTTTGGGAACTCGGTTAAAAATACAAAGAAACAACAGTTAACTACCATCGAATTCCTAGTATTCCTAAACACCTTCAGTATTTTACAATGTTAAAATAGATAATTACATTGTATGAACTGTAATGACTAAATCGTGAAACATGGAAACAATGTACCTACCAGTTCTACTGACTACTTTATCAGTTTGTACATGAGTACAAACTGATAAAGTAGTCAGTAGAACTTATTAGTCATGAGTACATATTTGTAATATCTGCCTGCTCTTTATGCACATTAAGTTAGGATAAACCAGTATAAACTGACCGTGGAATTTTAGAGTGGGAGAGCCATGCTTCGGCACGAATGTGCCGGCTCGACCGGAGCGATACCACGGCCTCAAAGAAAACCGATGTAAAGCAACGCTTGCTTTGTGTTTCGTCGTGTGAGTGAGGTTACCGGAGGCCCAACTACCCCTCCCCCCTTTCGCAATCCCTGAATCCCAAACAATCCTCAAATTCCTAATCCCAAAAGGCCGGAACGCACTTGTAACGCCTCTGATGTTCCAGGGGTCCATGGGCGACTCCGATTGCTTACCATCAAGTGATCTGTGTGTTCGTTAACCGGTTTATCCCATAAAAAAACACCAAGTTATGATAAACCAGTATAAATTAGCCGTGGAATGTGCCGAAAGATATAACAATGCGAGACCATGATAATTTTTTTTTTTAATGTGTAAAAAATCATCGAATGACTTCTCCCGCCCGGGTGAGGCGAGAGGGAGTGTCAGACTCTTACTGACTAAAAACCACCCCGTTCCTACTCCTGCACTTCGAGCCGGAGCCCCGGCAACCCGTTAAGTCTTCCGCGGCTCCGTAAGACCATGATACACTGGAGTTGTATAGTTTGATGTGAACCGTGTAAACATTGTTATGTTCATAACATGCTTGTAAATATGGTGTAACATGGAACTTAATATTAATAGACTTAGCACGAAGATGTTCGTAAACGCTTCTCAGGTAGCGTTTAGCTTCTGTAGTATATATATCACGCCTTTTATCCCCGAAGGAGTAGGCAGAGGTGCACATAACAGCACTTTAATGCAACTGTACAATGTAACTTTTTTTAACCCACTTTTTACTATTTATAATATGAGTGTTATGTAACAGGGGTGAGCCTCTTTACTAAATATCGTTTATGATGTGCTTCTTGTATCTGATAGTCCTATTCTATAAGAAAGTTATAGGTCTACTTTTAAATAAAGAGGCCGTTGTTTTTATAATAACTACCGTGAGACACACTAAATTAACTAAAATCGCGGGTTATTCACGCGAATATACTGAGAAAAGCTCTACTAGTTTCGAACCACAGAGGGGTTCTTCCTCATGAGCAGCGTGCGCAGTCGTGGCGACGTGAGTGAGCTGCGCGACGTATATACGCGAATAAAGAGGCCGTTTATGATTTATTTTTATATCGGGCAGTCGTATTTCCCAAGAAGGTTATACTATAAAGGTCATCTAAAAACACGTATGACCAGGAACAGTGTACTTGTACAATATATTCATCATCCCCACATAGCTGCTCCTAATGCTGAACATAGGCCACCTCAAGCAACTTCCACATCAGCTGGTTGAAAGCATTCTGAATTTTGAAGCTCTCGGCGACCTTACTAGGTTCCTATGTCCTTTTGAGTAGACGTAAAACCTAAGTATTTACCTAAGCGAAAGGACGAACTATTTTTGTTTTGTTAAGTTTTTCTTATGAGGACTCTAGTTGTGAACACGAAAGAGATAAATGTTCGTACTTAGGTCCAGTCCAGACCTCTAATGTTTTAACTTAGTACATAAACAATGTTTCTACATATTTCTACTTCAACTTAAATACCTTACCTTGTAATAATATGTGCCTGGAGACCAATCTATATTAATTATGCAAATAGATGAGTGAAATTATAATAATATAATGATTCTTACTTTATTCTTTTTTTTGCTATTCAATTTCATTTGAATGTCATGGAAACTATTCTAATTTTTATATCGTAATATTTACCTACGTAAATACTAGTAGGTAGGTCTTGTACTCAAACTGGCAACATAATAGATAAGAAAAAATAATTATTTTTAATAAAATCATAATGCCCAATCATAACAACAAATACGTAAAAAATAATTAGTAAAACTAGGTACATTTAACAAATAATAGAAAACCGTTTTCCTAAATGAAACTAAAAAAAAACAGACATTTTTAAAAATGGGTTCCGTTGCTCTAATATAGTTGATAATTTTACACTATGAATCACGTTTAACGAAAAAAAAAAACTTGAATTAATAAAATTGATGATACAATATTATTATTATAAAAAAAATATAATGGTACCATATTCTATTTTTTAAATATACCACAGACAATAAAACACCATTCCATTCCAAATTTAAAATATCTCGAACGGCAAGCGACTGGCTGGTAATGTCAAGGCTTAGCCCAGACGTGATGGCATTTCGTGGGCATGCTACAGCTACTGGGGAAAATATGACGCTTATAACTTTGACTAGATTTAATGGCGGAACGTGCTCAAAATTATAGCGCAAAAGTATATTACGGTAAAGCTACAGTAATTGGGTTTAAGAAAACGTGTTTTATGGTACATTACGTGTAACTTGTGAAATTAACTGTCTTTTTTAAATAAGCCCTAGATTTAAAGAGAAAATTAAAGTTCCTGAAAGTCTACACACCTAGACAGTTCAATGTCTGACAATGATCAATAGTATCGAACTGGTGAAACGTTGCATTCGAGTCAGTTTTTCCTAATTGCAATACGAGTCGCATTTGTAGTTTTTTTATTTGTACACACATTGATTGCAAATAGTATTAACGTTAATCTATTTTTCATTTTTGCTGCAACTAATAACAATAAAAGTAAATAAGTGTTTAACAAGAAACCATACTATAAAGAACATCTTTATACTATGCAAGAAACTGATTGGTAGCCTGCTACATCAATAACATTCATAAATGTTGAAGGCGTGTAATTAAATTATGATTCTATTAGACAGATTTAATTGCAAACCATTGCAAATCTGTTAGATAAATATAGTAATAATATAGTAATTGACTGCCTCATTGGCTGACTGGTCGCAAGTGTGTCTGCCGGGCAAGGGGTCTCGGGTTCGATTCCCGGGTCGGGCTAAGTACTACTGGGTATTTAAAAAAAATTCTCAGTTGTAGCACGGAGTCTGGAATTGTGCCCGGTATATGGCAATAGGTTCATCCCCTATTACATGGGACTCATAACATAAATAGTCAAAAATAGGTGTTACATTGTACAGTGGCATAATATGCACCTCTGCCTACCCCTTTGGGGATAAAAGGCGTGATGTTATGCATATGTGTAATATAGTAATCTCAACAGAATAATAATTTCAGCAGTTATTTCAACCGTCTCTTTTGTGACGTACGATACATACATACCTATCCCTTTCATGCCACCTCTGCCACTTCTGAACTTCATAATAATATTTCATTAATTTCATATTTCT